CAATAGTACACAGTATGGGCCTGCTGGACAATAAATCGACTTAGAAGTTATTGCGATAAACAATATTGTGATATTAGTGGCATAATGATGCAAGAACGCATTCTCAAAAATCAAACTTTTACTTCTGAGCAACATTTAACACCAGAACTGGGAGATATTTTATATATATATATATATATTATATATATATATATATTATATATATATATATATATATATATATGTATATATATATATATAAAAACAACAGAAAAATAAAATCAATTATGGAGTCTCTGTACACAAAAATTGTCAAAGAAGGGGGGACAGTTGAGACCAATGCACCAGACTAAAGACTTTAGTCATCCAATTATTGGTGAAAAGAGAAAAACGATAAATTATGCAAAAATGGAAATCACGGAGCTCATTTTTATTTAGTGTGCCACTAATAGATGCGTCGCTTATTGCAACTGGCCTGACTGCAGTAAAATATTGTTTCAAGTTTTTTTATTTTTAATTTGAACACATCTTCACAAGGAGTGCTGGAAACGAGGGGAGGGGCTGCATCTGGCCCACAGTCTGCCAAGTAACTGTGTCGGCAGATACACACACAACATAGACTGACACTTCTGTTTTCCTCCTCTTTTCCTGATCAGTTATCCCCCGAGAGACGGGAGCGCGCAGGGGCCCGAGACATGATGCCAAGACGAGCATTTAATCCTGTGCCCATCGAGATGGAGCATCTCCACCGAGCCTCTGCTGTGTGGGGAAAAAAAAACCCCAAACAAAAACAAAGAGTTGGACGTTTGGAGCATGTGTTCATGCCTCAAAGCAGAGCCTCCTGTGTGCGTGTGTGTGTGTTGTTCAAGTAAGGAAACTTAATTTTAAGTCTAATTGAGATAAAGAAATCATCATTTTAATTGCGTCTTGTTTCGCTAATGAACTAACTGTCTTTTCTGGTTAATGAAGGGGGCTGTTTGAGCTCGGAGAGAAAAATTGGGCTTGTTCCAAAATGCGCTTCTGGAAATTTGCACTAAATCTAATCAGTGCGTCCGAGTCGTGTCGCAGAGAGTTTCGGAAGACGCACGAGAAACGCAGAAGAATATCGCAGCTTCTTGGGCTTTGGGGATGCTAGGGAGGACACCCGATTGCAATTACACTTTTCAGTATCGCTAAGAGAAAGGCAGTTAACTAATCTCACTCTCTTTTACTCGTTTTTCATCTTGACTAGCATAGAGTGAATGGCAGTAGAAGAAGTGAATGTTTTCTACTCAAATATAACACCGGCCTGCAGAGCGTCAGTTGAGATGCAACGCCTGGAGATTCACTTAGCATTAGCTGTTTTTTTTCCTTGTGCACCACGTCAGTAAGTCTTTATTGATAAAATGATAAAAACCTAAAGGTTTTAATTATTTTATGTTCAAACTATTCCATTTTTCTTGTGAACGTTTGCACGCATTTTCAATCTGAAATTAATTGGTTTTGTCTCTCTTAAGGCCGATGTCAGCAACGTGCTTAATGAAAAGCCAATACTCTGGTCTGTTTCCGTAGCGTTTAATTATGCATCGCGCTGCGTTGACAACAATCAGTACTTAGATGCTGAACAGTCACAGCTAAACCTAATGAACTACAATTATGAAACCCAGGCACTTATACTCATTCTAAATACATCCTATTAAATACACTTGTACTGCATCACATATTGTTATTAAAGGCATAGTATCTCTCAGTTTCCATGCATATGGTGCCATTTTATGGCAAAACCAAGTAACGATGCTACATTCAGTTCTAAAAATACCAACATGACATAAAACTTTGACACCTTGAAACTGAAACTGTCTCTTTAAGAAAGTCTTACTCCTACGATCAAAGCCATTGGAAGTTATTTATTTATTTTCACAAGCCATCTCGACACATCACATGACCTCTAGTGGGAAACAGTGGCAGTGGCAGCATTATGCTGTGGGATTGCTTTGATTTGGCATGGACATGAAAGCTGTGGAGAATGGATGGAGCCAAACGCGCGGCGGCGAGTGCTACAAGAAATCTCGTTGGAAGTCGCAGAGGTTTTGAGAGTACGAGGCAGAATAGTGACCAAAAAAACCCATCAGAACCACAGCGTTTATGTTCTAGGGCCTATTCAAAGCCTAGCCCCCAAAGGCAAAGGAGAAACTGTGGCGAGACCAAGTGTGGACGTCCAAAGATTCAGTCCAATCAGACTGAGCTGGAAAGAACAGGCAGAAATCTCAAAACTGGTGGAAACTCGCCAAACGTAATGGATGTGAAAGTTGGTGTTAAATGCCACACCTTTTAAAGTTTTGTAACATTCATGTCATTCACAATTAAGCATTTCGTCTTGGTCTATCACATGAAATTTCCTGAGTCACATTTATGTGGACACACATACAGCAAGTCTGCATCACTCAAAATGCAACTTGGGTCCACTTTAAGAGACAAAGAAAAAAAAAGAAGCATGCAACTTCCACTGGAGTTTATTCAGTCATTTGAATTCACATCCAACCTCACAAAAAGCTTGTTCAATCACCTAAATGTTAAGGAACAATGTGAACACGTCGGCGCTGGCGCTGCACTGCACTGCAAGGAGGAATCCTGAAAGGAATTAAACGCACGGCATTAAAAATGAGCGAACTTTAAATCCGGAGAATTATTTTCCAACACTTTACCGCAACTCTTAACAACTTTATTTCGGCAACTGATCGGACGCACTTTGGATTCAAACTTTATTGAAGGTAGAAGTTCAGACATCTTTCATTCTCACTTATGTCCTATCAGGTAGAAATGAAGGCGGTGAGTAAAGTGAGCACTGAACAAGTCAATGTTTGTCCCAACGTATGTGTGATATTTCCACTGATGAAAAATTCACACCAGAGAAACTAAAAAGGAAAACCACTTTGTTCACGAATCATGTGGAACAGCGCAGGACATAAGTACAGAACACATGAAGGTGATGGGCAAAATGACATCGAAAGCCAAGAAACCAGCTAAAATCTAGCACAGAGCGGTACGATTGGTGAAAGCAAATAGATCTTCACAACAACATAAACAGCAATCATTACGCTTCTCTGGTAGAACGCCTGGCAGAGGGATCCAAGAGCCAAGAAGCATTAACGGAGAGCTTTAAAAAGATCTTGTTTTCATGGGTTCTCATTAAAATGAAGTAATTCACTCAACCACACTGCTCTCGATGCACCAATGCCCTGTGGAAGAGGAAGGAGGAAAAAAAAAATAAGAAAAAAAGAGGAACATGCTGCAGCTTGTTTAAAGCTAGCTGCAGAAGATCTGGTCAGGCCTGAGAAATGCGGACAGGCGAGATCAAAGCCGAACCCTCTGGATGATATCGCACGTGCGCGCCGCGTTTGGACGGAGAGCGGTTCTACAAATCACTCCCAACGTGTCGACAGTGAAGGTTGTATCATACATCACAACTGGAAGGAGAAAATGAAGAAATGTCAGGACAACGTTCAGAAGCGTATGCCGATGAAAACGAGTCAACTTAGGAAGAAAATGGTTCCGAAGACAAAAAAGCCAAGGAAATGTTTGGTTTAAGAAAAAGAAACGGTTGGTAGAATTGAGGATGAAGCAAATCCAGTGATCAATCAAATCCTTCGCAGGATTCACCCGGCTATCAGCAGAACTCCAAGAACTTATGGATGACTTACTGCGGAGGCTCTGAAAGAGTCCAGAGCAACATCAACAGCAGACCTCAAACGCCTCAGATGAGACTGGGTTTCGTGACGCAACGATAAGAGACTGGGCCAAACGGTGCCACTGGAGAGGAAACAGGCCAAAACAAACAGACTCGACGTTTCGAGGGAAAGGCTCTTTAAATTGACGTGCGGAACTTCCTGTTGGACGCGTGTCCTGTTTCGTCCCACAGAAACACAAACGTTGATTGAACAGAACCCGTCAAGCTTGGCGGTGTTGGTGTGATGGTACGGGGGCCGACAAGTCCTCTGTGACTGAACCAGGAATTCTGCTGTCAAGCAAATTATGACGTACGAATGAAAATCCTTGTTTTCATAGGTTAAGATTAGTCAGACTTGGGTTATGCAGCAGGACAATGAGCCAAAGCACTTTACTTGTGATGTTACCTTAAAAGACTCTTCATACTCAAAAAGCCTTCAATGATGCAGAATCAAATGAAGAATATATCACTCACACACACACACACACCATAAAAAAGAAAAAAACTAAATTAGGAGAAATCTAAATGGCTTTTTCACATCACCAGATATAATTTCTACACATAAGGATGTATCCAAAATGTTTTATGTCTTGAATTCCGACACCAGGCCTCGTTTCCATCCTGGAGGTCCAGAGGAATCGTCCCCTCTGCGTCCCAAAGCGCCAGGACTCTGCTGGTGTTTCCACTCGACTTTGCTGTGATGAAGTGAACAGCGATGCGCCTCGGCGTGGAGCCCCTGCAGCCTGCTGCGCGGATCCCTCTCCGGGACGCACGCTTGAACGAGCACGCACACGCACAACGCAACGCACGCGGACAGAACCACCGCTTTAAGCGGGACGCGCTTTTTTTTTCTTTTTTCTTTTTACGGTCAGCGAACATTTACGCACGAACGAAACTCGGCGCTTGGCAACATTTATTATTATTACTACTATTATTATTATTATTTCTCAAATTGCTCTCTCATCTCCGGTTCGCGATTTCGTGGCAATTTGGCGCTTTTGTTCGATTCCGACGAAATGAGGGTGAGGATTTTTTTTTCTTTCTCTTTTTTACCCCCTCTTTTTTTTTTAACCCCGTCATGTTGACACACCTGGAAACCCACGCAAACACCCCGATGTTTGCGCCAGATATGCGTCTGTCTGACCCGTCAAGCTCTCTCCATCACACATCCAGCAGCAGCAGCCGCTGCGCCTCGTGCACATGAACCCAATTCCGCGCGTTCGGCACCTGCACCTCTTTGAATCAAAACGCATTTCTTACATAAATAAATGAATAAATCATAACAAAAGAGCTTTAAAGGCGGTGCCGTCCTTACCTTGAAGTTAGGCTTTCTTCTCCGCGTTTTTTTTTCTTCTTCTTTCTGCTTCCTGCGTCGGAGGAACGAGAAACACGCCTATTCCACAGCTCGCCGACCGGAGAGCGCAGAGGAGGATGGAGAGGCAGCGGCGAGGACCAGCAGCAGTGGCTCATCCTCGCTCAGCGCTCCGCTCCCCCACTGAGATATTAGCGGCCAGCGATTGGTCCACGGGTTCCTCAGCGGGGCCCCCGCTCCGCATCTCGAGGAGGGGCTTAAAAAAAAGAAAAAAAAAGAAAAGAAAGAAAGAAAAGAAATCAGACCGTCGAAGCTGACAGAGACGACGCAATCGGAAGTGAATCTCCTGCTGCTGCCTTCCAGTTTGGATTCCATGTCTTTAAGTTTAATGTCATGTTTTGCGCATGACATCAAACTGGGAAACTTTCCTGACTGTGTGTGTGTGTGTGTGTGTGTGTGTGTGTGTGTGTGTGTGTGTGTGTGTGTGTGTGTGTGTGTGTGTGTGGAGGGGGATTGAGCCATCATATCTGTTCCCAGAGCAAGACAGGAACCACCAAGGTGACCACAATGGTGGATGAGGACTGAAGATGGCACGGATAAGGAGGGACAGTTGGACATTGGATGAGGGAGGGTAAGGAATGACGGGAATCAGGGCCGTGCAGAGACCTTTGGAGGGGCAGGGGCTCAAAGTTAAAGAAGGTTCACGTCAATCCAAAAGAATAAACTTTAACGGAGCCATTTTCACCTGCACCAGCGGTTTGATCGCTTTACGTCAATAAACAACATTAGGTTTTTTCTGTTTTCTCTATTCTACTGGGAAAGCCTTGCAGTTTGAGGAGTCTAATCAAAGTCTGAAACTGTCTTGACGTCAAAACAGTGTCAGCAGAGGAAGAGGAAAACTGTGGAAAAAGCCACTCATTTCTTTCCTATAAATTCTGGGCACATTGGCTGAGTGCATCTTTTTTTCTTTTCTTTTGCCTATTTGTTTGGCTGTCCATAATTAAGGGGCTGCCTCATTTCCGCGGGCAGCCGGTGCATGCCTTCAGTGCTAATTTCTCATCGCGCTTGAGGAATGAAGTCACTGAAACCGAGGCTTCGCAGCGAGCCGGCGCTGCAGAACGACGTCTGCGCGCTTCATTTACGCTTTCTGATGAGAACGATGCGGCCCTGACGCGCAGAGAAACCCAGATGGCATTTTGGCGTGCTCAATTTTCTTTTCTTTCATTTGAGAAACAAAAGTTCTCCTATTGCACAACTGATACGTATTCATGGTAAATAAGTACTTTCATGTTTAAAAGCGTCTGAAGTCTAACAGAAAGCCCCGTTTTCGTTTTGTGTTTGTTTGCTGTGTTATTTTTTTTCGTGTGTGTGTGAAAATATAATAAATTATTCCACTGCATGGCTTGTTGTTTTTCCGGGTACGACCGCTGGAGATGAAACACCAGCCTCACGTGAGCCTGCAAGGACAAGCAGGTATGGATTATGGACGGAAAACTTTTCCTGGACCGGACATTTTCATTAAGTTGCACTTTGGCCAATGGATGTCACTAAATGTCTGCATACTAAAGCTATTGCTATAGCTCTGGCTTAGTCTTACCTATGGCCAGACTGCGTAATCCCCCGCTGGACGAAGCAAAAATCGATCACTTTCTATTACTCAGCCCCGACCAAACATGGAGGAGTCAATCTGGGCTTCCACTGCCCGAGGCGTTTTGATGCTGCTGATCCACCTCTTCCTCATTTTACCTTTAAAGCTGCCAAGAGCTGCCAATAATGGGCTGTCGTGGCATTCCACTAAGATGGCAGAAGTGATCAATGGTGTGTCAGTGAGCGGTTTCAGGGCTCAGACAGCAGATGAAGAGCACAGACGGGGTCTCAAAATGTCTACATTAAACCTGGAACCTAATTCACAGAGGCACATGACTCTTGATGCTATGGCTGCTATGCATATTCATGCACTAAGCTACAGGAGCAGATCAAGAACAGATTGGACCTATTTTCATTAGTTTTGCTCTCCAAAATCATTGCCAAAATGAGCTAAAGCGGCACTAAATGCCCGGAAAAAAAGATGTTCCAATTCATGCAATTTTTTAAGTTTGGGAAGAGTAGCCTATTAGCTTTGAAAGAGGAGTTAAACGGCGGAAGATCATAACCCACACTTAAAAGTGACAGATGAGTGAATCAAGCTTCCAAAACAGCGAATTAACATAACATAAAAACATGAACAATTTATTCTTTGACATTTTTGCATAATGGATGCTTTGCGCCTTTGATTAAATCAGTAACTATTGAATTTACGATTTTAAAAAATATTGGAAAAAAGACAACAGAAATCAATAAAACCATCAACGTGTTTTAAAGCCTTTTTCCATTTCTGCACCAATCGCTATGCAGAAGGTGACGTCCATGCCTCCTCTTTTCAAACTGCAAGAGGACACATCAATGGATCGATCCATGGAGATAGAATGATGCTTTATGCTCTGCCACGCATACGAGGATTTTGTTGTTTTTCTTCTTTTTTCATTTTTATAATGTCCGCGTGAAAGTTTATGTTAAATCTGAAAGGGCCAAAAACTAGCGACAGAAGCTGTGACTCCTCCCGCCAGCGCCGCCATAAAGTCCTTCTTAGAAAACCCACACCTTTGCAAATGTCATGCATATTTCATCGCAAAATATGTAAAGCCGCGAAGCCCAGCGTGGACCCCGTAGCTCATCCACAGCAACTCTGACGTCTTTACTATCGAGCGGCAGAAATAAGAGAACGCACAGGAGATTCGCCGCCGACATGACAGGCTGACAGAGTAAGAGACGCGGTGCATCTTGGCCCATAACACTCGTGACATCAACCGGTCCAGGGAAACACGAACGCCGTTTCACTGAGGGACGGACGGCGGCGTGTTTGTTGTGTCAAAGCCGGAGACGAACACGTTTGTCGCAAAAACCGACACCTGAACCAGAGTCTTTGAGCCTCGTTTTCGTCCCTCGTCGATCATCCACGGCGCGTCCAGATTTCCACAGCAAACATGAGCACAGTTTGACGAGCCAGTCGGGCAACTTTACAACACCGAATTTCACTGGGACTAAAATATGTTCATGACGACAGAGTGAAACGCTTACCGCATTTTTCTAACCGTTTTGGGGATTTTAGCATTGGGTAGCGAATAAGCTCAGTGTTTTTATATAAGCACAAATATCGTGAACATTTGTTTTGCTATGAAATTGTTAGAGTAGGAAAAATAAAAAACAGTTAGTTGTTGGAAAAACAATGTTAGTGTAGCCATTTGCTACCTAGCTTTAGCAGCTTGATATCTCTCTCCACAAACCTGAATTGCTAACAGGGTTTTGTTAGCGCTTTGGTGTGTTGTGTTTTGTTAGGGACAAAAATAGAGTTAATATTATAGGTTAATATTATAGGTTATTGCCACCCAACGTAACTGTATCCGTTAGCATTACACTGGTAGCTGCTACAATTAGAAAACTGGTAGTTCACCTCAAAAGTAGCAGTTTTTTAAAAGAAGCTGCAGTCGCTGAAGTTTTGTTTTTTCATTTTTATATTATATATTTAAATTTTTATTTTTATTTTATTTTTTATCAGATATCACCAAGAGCTTTTGTAGTGAGTATTTTTTTTTAAAGTCTTTAATTTTGGTGCTGCTAAGTGGTGACCAGCAACACCCGGGAGGACAGTGCTAGCAGGAGACATGAAATGTCTCCAAAACTCATCTTGTCCAGCGACTGTAAGGGGACCACACAAGTTTTCATCTTGACTCTGGCTCCCGATATTTCACAACATTTTATTTTGTTCTCATGTGGATTTGAATACGCTCGGTGTTACAAACTGATGGAATAATAATAATAATAATAATAGTTAATAATCAAAACCTTCACTCACAGACTGCTCTTCTTCCAAATGTGCTGTTTTGAGACTTTGCCCGAAACGTACAGTTTGGACTCATGAAGCTGTAATACATTTTCCAAGATATTTTAGGACATTTAAGCCAGGCATAGGTGTTTTCTTTGTAAGAAAAAAGATTTTGTATATGAAATCTGCTTCTTATCCCATGAACTCCAGGAAATTGTTGACTCATGCACCTTTTCAGAAACAGATCCATCAAGTTTTGGAAAATAGCAAATTGACGTTTGTGTTCCAACAGAGTGTCTTAAGGGCGTTCACGTGTCACAGGAGTTTGCATACTTTAATCCAGGCGGAAAACATTTTGAAAAGATTCATCAGTGTCGTTTTTTCTAAATTTGCGCAATATGAACGTTTACTTCAACAATGACAGTGGAAACCTGCTGAAAATTGATTATTTTTGTTATGTTTTACTTCTTCAAAAAAACAAAACAACAACAAAACAAAGGCTTTAGGAACACAGTTTGTTTCACTTAAACGATCTGATGTGGCCCACGTCCCCGCATGCGTCCTTTAAGCAGAGGAGCAAGTTTCTTTCTCTGAACAGGCCTCTCTGACGTCCTTAGTCGATGTTGCGATATTTCTTTAGGTACGTTAAAATTTAATGCGCTGCTGCGCGGGAACCACAAACTCTGTGAGAGCCGGTCTTACAAGCCGCGAATTGAATTATTGAATGCTGTGACAGGCCGCTAAATGATGCTTAAGACGTTTAAGTGCAGACTGAATTTCTGGGCAGACGAGCCAGCGTGGCTAAAAATACATTTCTTTTTCGAACGCGCAGAGCCATCGCAAGTCAGAATGGAAGAGTGCATGTAGACGGCACAGCCTCTTTTCCTCCAGGCAGTGGCTGCACTTCATCATTTAGTAAAGCAAGGGTGATTTAATACTCTTGCCTATTACTTATTCATGCAGGAAAAAAAAAACAGAAACACAGAGATGATTTGCAGGCTCTTCAGCAGTATTTTCCCTCTTCCAAAGCAGCCGACGTTGTCCAGTGAACAAATTTGGCCATTTGTTGTTGCCCTTTGACATGTGAGGACACGTCTGCCTCCGGGTATTTTTCAGACCGTCGTTTTTCCCCCCCCAAAAACGAAAACCCGCAGAAAGCACTCAGAAGACCTAAAGTCTTGCAATGGTTTTTTCATACTGGTCCTGCTACAGAATGGAGTGCAATGAAAGATATAGGAACAAACTCTACTGAATTTTGTTGGGATTTTTTTACAGCGAATTTGGCAGAGTTGGATCAACAGTTTGCTCAGTCAGTTAGTTTAACTCGACAATAAGCTGCTGAGTAGCTTGAACTACTTTAAGTGTTCATATTACTCAGTCGTTTCCTGAAGTCACTCTGAAAGAGTTGGACTAACACCAATTCTGAGAAGGACCAAATGGACTCGACACATTTAGCTCCACTAGAACTGTAGCACACCAACGTAAATAAGCACACACTATAGTAGTGTAAAAAAACAAAAACATGTTTTGTTTTAGAGCTATAATTCTAAAAAAAATGATGCAAAATAGCATCACTGATGCCAAGAAAACCATCAAATAGGCCAGTAAGTTGGGCAAAGAGACCAAAACACTTGAGATTGAAGCAGAACTTTCAACTACAATCAAAATATACTTGTGTCAGAGCGGCCTAGACAAAGTCCAAGGCTATTGATTTAAGAGCTGAATACAAATGAATGGCATACCTTTTAGATAAAACAATGAATCTCTTTCCTTCTATTTGACAATTTTGTTCCACTAGGTGTCACCCTGTTTCATACAGCTTTGTGGTTAAAACATGTCGAAATGGGAATCAATGACTTAGTAAGGAGCTGTATTATTATCGTTGACACATCACATTTAGTTATAAATCAGCACAACGGTAAATAAAACAATCTCTCCAGTGAGAGGAACTAATGGAAGTTGTAGCTGGCAGTTTGGTGAGGGAAGAGAGACACTCCCTCCCTGACTCCTTCCAGAACGCAGGCAGACGTAACGCGTCTCCTGAATAGAAGCAGTTCCATTACTCTCTGTCAGCTGTCCCCACTTCCCTCCCGAGACATTCATCTACGGACGTAATGACCAAAGAAAAGAGCAAGACGCTGATCTGTCAGAATGATTCACTGTCAATTCAGCAGGCTTTTGATAAAAGTCTGCGTGGTGCACCAGTCGGGTACATTGTCCAAACCTCCCCTTTTTTAATATTCTGCATGTTGAGAGATGACAAGGGGATGATTGGGAATAACTGTCAGGACCTGACTTCTCAGGAAGAAAGACGTAATTAGTTTTTTTATTCTTTGGACTGATGAAGACCGTCTTAGCTTGTGATCCGTCTCTGTCCAGTATAAGAAGGAAAGCCTCCTTTGAATCTGTGTAAGTTGTGGTGTTTGCATTTGAATTAGACTCTGATTGACAATGAATAACAGTTCAGAATTCACCTTGACACCAGAGAGCCAGTGAGGTTCCAATGAGGTTCCAATGAGGTTCCAAGCAGATGAACGTTTTTCAAAATGACTTAGGACTGAAAACCTTGCTTGACAGCAGTGTTTCTCCACATTTAACAACAACATGAAGGCGCAATCTTATTTTGAAGTTGCCATGTTTTCATCCAGCAAATTTATTTCTGAAATGTCAGATTGTGCAATTATCTGGAAATGCAGCTACTGTCTCTCTCTTATTGTTGCCTCCCAGGTGAGACTTGTACTTGGACATATTAGGTGATTATTTCCATGGAGGGAAAGAGAGTCCAGGTTTTGACAACACATTCAGCTTGTTCAGTTCGACTGTGGCAGCACATCTGTAAACAAAGCCCGTTCACAGCCAAGGCCTTTCCCGAACATAATAAAAGAGCTCCCAATAAACACAAATAGAAGAGAAGCTTTGTGCTGTCCAGCTGTCCAGCTGATAGCATTAAAGCTTAAAAGAGCTGCATGCACCTTTAACATGAACACAACCACACACAGAATCCGTTTCTTTTCAGCATATATGCTTACAAGAAATGCCAACTTAAACTTTAACAACAATAATAACAATCACATCCGTTTGTTGTAGCCCACTTCACTTCATTCGAATAGGAGATGGTGCTAAGGAAAACCCCCATGCACAAATCTCACATCCAAAAAACATCGTGAAAAGCGTGATAGCTGCCACAAAACAGTCAAGAATGCCGCTGAAAGTTGCTGATGAGTGATGTCATGTCTGGAATATTGAACTGTGAATCACGCACTGCTCAGCCGGGTCAAAAACGGTACGGAGTCTGTAGACTGAAGCGGAAATGAAGATTTATGTGGTGATTTGTCCAGTGAGCAGAAACATTGTCTGAGAGAGGTAGTTTGGATGACAGTATGTCCAAACTGCAATATTTTGACACTGTTTGCTTAAGCTTGACCACTTGCCACACTTTGTCCTGACGTCACACTTTGTCCTAACGTCAGACAGTGAGGGGACAAAAAAAGGCTGTTTCTTTTTGCGCATGTACAGTGGCAATATCCTGCCAAAACAAACAAAAACACCAGCACACGAGGGAACCAGAAAATGTAAAAAAAAAAAAAAAAGCATAAAAATGTTTCTGCTGGTAGCAAGTTACTTCATCATAAATGATGCAGTGAGCAGCTTGTCATTATTTGAAAAGCCATTTAACGTTGAATGATTCAACAGGGTCAGGCTCTGAGAGCGCTTCAGGAAGCATAACGCATCATTTTAACCAACACATTGAGTCACTGCGGAGACCATCTTTAAACTGCTTTGGGAAATATTTGGCCTGAGCTACAGAGGAAATGATGTAGTAGTGTGACCATAAACAGGATTCTGGGAAATAAACCACTCTTAATGCCGATGGATGTGCCACAACAAAGAAGTACATTAACGAACGGTAAATGAGACCCAAAGCAGTGTGAAAGTATTACATTACAAATATATAAGGAGCCAAAGGCTACCAGTTCATCTGATCATGCTGCAGTTCAGGTAATACCACTGGCATCATTCCAGCTGAAGATCAATGCGAACACTGCAGGAGCATCCTTATTGATAAATTAGACAATAATAAAATAACCACGCTTGACCTGTGTCATCATCTGCTCTGCAATCCACTAAATAAAAACTCAGAGAAGCCAGCTGCTTTCAGAGGTCGTCTCATGAGTACAGGTCTCCTGTGAAGGTGTCAGAAGTCTGTTTTAGCACATTAGTGAAAATAAATACACGACCTATGGGGGAAATCTTACCACAGCTCAACTACTGGTCACGCAGTCCACCAGTTTGGCTACATGGGACAGCAGCAAGAAGAAAGAAATTGCTGGAAGTAAACCATAAGGAGTCTCGTCTGCAGTGTGATGCGAACTACAATGGGGGGGGTAGGGGGTGGCAAACTCGTGACGACCGTTTTCCAGTCAGGTTGGTTCGAATGTGACCAGTTTTGACCAGACATGGAAAACAGTGTTATATGGGAGAAGTTGACACACCTGGTGGAGGCAGGAAAATGCTGCGGGCTGCACATTCACCCTATAATGGGAGAACAACCCTTAGCCAGAGCTGCAATGGAATGTCCAAGTCAAAGTCCAGACCTAAATGCGATTGAGGATTTTTCTTCCAATCAGAATGATGAGGTAAAAAAACAAACAAACAAAAAAAATTCCAACCTATGTTCAAAACATTTGAACATTTTGAAGAAAATTACAATTTGACATCATGGTGGAAACACGGTGAGGGCACCTTCATGCTTTGGGAATGCTTTTCTTCAGCAGCTTCAGGGACATGGATAAAGGCGAACAAAGTTCAAATCAGGTAAATGGAAGAAAACATGTTATGATTGGGAACAAGAGATTAGACTCTTAACCCCAAGGGATGAAGATTTCATACAAATCTAAAAAAGAAAAAAAAGAAAACCCTCCACACACTTCATATTTTTATTTGCAAATAGTTTTGAAAACTATACATTATTTTCCAGCCACTTGACATTCACATCACTTTGCAACGTCCATCGTGTTGAAGAAATAGACAAAAAGACAAAAAAATAAAACGTGGAAAGACTGGAGGGGCAGGAAAACCTTTTCAAGGTGCAACACACACTGTGACACACGACAGTTTACATCAAAACATGGCAAGAAATTAAATCCACGCCACGTTTCAGCCGGTTGAAGAGCTTCACGGAAATCAGGTAAGTGGCGCCCCTATGTGGAGTGAAGCTGAATTACAGCCTGGCGGACATAATCAGAGGGAGGATGTGTGTCTGCTGTCTCGGAAAAAACAAAGTCGGTTCAAATCAGTTTTGTTTATAGCACCGATTCGCAATAAATGTCTCGAGGAACTTCACAAAAAAAATAAATAAATAAAAATAATTATGTTTCAGTGATGTGAGATAAAATCCTGAAAACAACAAAGCTGTTTTCATTCCGGCCATAAATTCAGATGCTCAAATGTAGATGAGGATAAACAGCTTTTTTATTTTTGTAATAGTAGTAATAACAATCATTGGATCAGTTTATTTTAAACTGGTTTTTATTTTATTTTATTTATCTATTTTTTCTTTTTTAGCTTTCATTCGTACTTCCGTTTCACCTTCAGTGGCCGCGAGCCTCCAAAGTTAAGCTAAGCTCGGCTAACAGGTAGGTGGCATCCCCCCAACACTCGCGCGCGCCGACAGACAGCTCCTTCATTGAACGACAGGGTTCAGAGCGCGCGCGTCGGAGCGCAGTCACCCAGAACCGCTCCGAGTTCCCGCACCACGTTTCCTGGACGGAGGGAGGGAGGCAAAAAGGGAGGGAGGGTCCGAACGGAGAGGGGAAGAGAAGCAGAGCAGGCATGGGAAAGTTTCTCCCCACCACACACACACTTTTTCCGACTCCAGCGGGTCTTTATAAAGAAGGCGACGCGCATTTCAAGCGGCGTTAACAATCGGCAGAGCGACTCGGAACCGGCGAGGAGACACAAGCCGCCTTAAGAGAGAGAGAAGGTAGGAAGGTTCACCACACTGATGGAGTCATGAGTCAACTCTCCTTTATCCTGAATGGGTAAATGTTCTGGTTTGTGTTTAAAGTTAAGGTTAAAAGTTTCATTTTTTCAACCTCATTGTAATAGGTCACATTTGTCTAATCCCTTGATGAAATTTGAAAGTTTCAATATCAAATACAGCTTGGCGACTCAGTTACTCAGATTTGTTCTTATATGCTTTATTTTGTTGTTGTTCTAAGATGAACTTTTGCCATGCTGTGTGTTTCAACTGTAACATTAAACCAGAGACATTTTGCAAGACCTAAACAAGAAACAATTGAGGCTCCGAACCGCCTAAACCTGCATATCATAATGTTTCTACAGTTTGATATCCACCTATTAAAATGTGCCTGGAGTGACCTGAAATTTGGTTGTGGGTGCAAGAAATAGCAACACAGAAATGTAGACTTTGCCAGTATTTAAATTTGTGTGTCTTTTATCTTTTGAGGAATTGTTTATTAAAACCATGAGAGTGTTTCCAGGTATCTGGAGGTTTTTGAAAAAGATCACAAAACTTGCTGAGCCCCAACAGTTTAAAGTCATTTAATTGGGATCCGGAGAAAGTGCTACAGGTACATTTTCTCCAGCTTGTTAGATCATGGCTGTCTGTCCCTCCCCCACCTGTTGCTACACACTGCTACTCAGCTAGTTTCGATGGTACTATTTACTTGTTGTGGCTTATTTTGGGATTCTTTTCTGGGGTTTTATTTTTTAGATAGTAAACTGAAGTTGTGAATACCATAAATATAGGGAGCAACTAGATATTTAAATGTATTTAGTGTCAATATTAAGGTTAATTATAGTTGATTCTATAATGTTATTCAAACAAAAGAAATTAGATCACTTTTACCGAGGTAGCACATCAAAACAATAAATAGCATAGGTATTATTGTAAGAGCAAAAATAAATATTTTATAGAATTTCAGAATCAGCAGGATCACTTTCACTTTAATTTTGTGTAAACTCAGAGATACTATAATACTTTGATTTATACTGTGAGGTTCTCATACCAGCCTACTCAAAAGTACACGGTCAGCAAATTCCTCATGTGAATTTTCCCAGAAACAGCAAAGTTATGACGATGTCATCGTTTCCGAGTTGCTCGGCAACCTATTGTCTGCTCATCCTGTCATAGGAGTTTTTTTTTTTTTAACATATGAAGAGTTATTTCTTCTCTAAGACGGAAGAAATAACATAAAAACATTAATAGCACAAACAAATAGACAAGCATCACAGCAAAGCCTGAACTCCCCCACACAGGATGTTTATTCAGATGTGTGTGTATGCGTGTGTGTTGCCCTTTGAGCAAGCTGCTGTGTCATTCAGAAATGTCCAACATCCTCCATTTCCTGACATCCTCACAGGTCAGGACAATACTTCATTGAACGCAGCCACAGTACGCCGCGTCACACATTACGTACTCTTGTTACCCAATTCAACAAAACGCATAAATGGCCCGTAGATGTGTTCTGTAAAAAGGAATAACGGCCTCTCTTTGGACGGGTCCTTCAAAGTTTGGTCGTAAACGGTTGCAGGGCGCCCTGCTCCTGCTCAAATAAAACGCTAAGTTTAGTGCCATATGTTTTTGTTTTAGTCGTTGTTAGTGTATGGAAGCTTCACTCCTCTGCATCTCGATGATTAGGGCCCGGAGCCCCCTGAGAACAGTGTGAGCTCATGGAAGAACTAACAAGGCACCGCAGCCAGATACGCACGCTCTTTCGCGAAGAAGGAACCATTATGCTGAAAAGGTTGGAGAAAATTAGCTCGTTTGTTACCTACAGAATAAAACAACCTGCTGCTTTTTTTTCTTTTTTTTTTCTGAAAAACCAGTGAGAATTCTTTTATGGAAATAAAATGTACCAATTAAAATGTAATTGGTACATTTTCAAGCCAGTCCTCGCGGCGTATCTGGGCTGCGTGCCCTTAAAATTAAACTGCGGCAACAAATGCAACACATCTTGCATGTAAAAGGATATTGTCCACTTACATCTAATTGCGTAATCTAATTTCATCTGCCCCCCCCCAGCTCTGAGATTAGTCCAAAAAAGCTTTCACTGTCCACGGTTTTAAAGTTTGTCTCTGTCCCACATGTTGTCAGGATTTAGGACCCACACGCCAATTTTAGAACCTCTTTCTGAAACTCCCCCACCTCCAAAAAAAACACTCCACTGGAAAGTTTTGCATGTCTGTAAAAATAGCCATAAGTTGGAATGTTTTCAAATGCATTTCAGAATTTATGCATTTAGTGTATTATTTTTTTTCTTACCCAGTTAAAAAGCAAAAACAGACTTTTTTTTTTCACAAATTAAACTTAGAACCGTTACCTTTTGGAGGATTTACTGCGTCAGTGTTAGCGTTGTTTTCTTTGAACTTTGCTCCAGCACAGAGTTCTGAACAAGGTTGAATGGGTTGCTCTGTGCAACTTGTGACCCGGTCCTTGTTGCGGTAGAACATCCCCCACACAACGACTCCAGGGGTTCCTGTGATGAAGGGATTCTCGGTGTCTGGGGTCCTTAACAGTCTCAGTAAAGAAAGTGAGCTTTTCATGTTGGCACTCCGCATTCCCGTTCTACACGTGTCTTTTATATTGCTTCCAGTAGTTTGTATGCCTTTAAATACGCAGCATTATGTGTGTTCCAGGAAAATAGTGCCGTTTTATAGCATAATCAAGTAACTATGTTAACTTCAGTTCTAAAGATGCTGTATGCCGCTTTAATGCCTTCAAATTGGGCCTCGGTCTCACAATGGTGCTCCTCCACTAACTTTTAAGCAACATTTTTCCCAGCGTTGCACTGAGAAGGTGCTGGCAGAATGAGCTCAGCAGATGCTCAGCTCCACCAGCTGCTTGCTAAATGCTGGTGGCTAGTCTGAAGGAGCTGAGCTGAGCGGAGGAGTTGCGACTCGTGCTGCTCTGCGTGGTGGAAGCTTGGCAGCTCAGAAGCTGCAGCTCAGAGGGGGAACTTTGTCCTCAAAACACGCAGCTGAATGGTTGCCATTCAGGTTAAAGGATCTCTCAAATGTGCATGAAAGAATCAAGGCAACACTCCACACGTGCTTTCAATGAGGGGATAACATTGTAACACAATTTTACATGAATCTGCCCCTTTAAGGTATGAAGGTAAGAAACCCGGATGTGTTAAAACACTGATTAAAGCAAGTTTTCTTATTGTAGAAAAGACATTTAATCATGTTTTGAAGGTAGAAAATGTAAAATTATTTCATCTAAAAATATTTATGAGCAGATAAGTAATTTAAAGAATCGATTTTCCCTAAAAACCGAGCTTTTGGAAGAGAGCTTTGCTTCTTTGTCTCTCATGATCATTTCAGATAATGAAACAAACTTTAATGTCAGACAGGATAACCAGAATGAATACACAAAACAGTTTTCAAATGGGCATTTATTTTAGTAATGGATAAGCTCTCCCATTAAAAAGAACAAAACACTAATTTCACATTGTTACATCAATAATTAGTTTTTTCTTTCCCCAAAATTTGTTTGAGGATTTGAAACCTGTCTGACACAAAAGGAAAAACAGCAGAAATGTGAAAGGAGGAAAACCTTTTTCACAGCTTAGCGTACAGATGATGTCACAGCCAGTCATTGTACACAAAGCAAATTGTTCTCTACGCGAAAAGCCTCTCTTGTGGAAATTTGTTGAAAGAACATATGGCTGTTTACTGGTAATCGGGAAAAGAAAAGCTAACGTGAACACCCTTACTTTTGCCCTGCGATCCTTTTCACACTGGAAAAATAGACAAGCTTAGTGAAAATAAACAGGTGAAGAGAGGAGATTTAGATTTAGCCCATTGTGAAACATTCTCTCAATTCGAAACACTTGTTGCCCTGAAATTATGTAAATCTTGGCTCCAAGAGAAGGAACAGCCACAGGCTGAAGGATGTTGACGTCACTGGTAAAACAAGCAGCTGCAACGCGGTCGGTCGCAAGATCATCAAAGCAACTTGGGCTGGCCAGAGACCGGCAATCCCTAGATAGGTTGCCAGTCTGATACAGCTGCAACCTGCAGCTCTCAGACAACGTCTCTTATATCTTTCTTTTGCTTTCAAAAGACAAACTATGCTGTCAGTACATCCAGTTTGCTTTGGTTATATGATTCCTCTTTAACCATTTTTTGGCGAATGTGCTCAGTTACTGATATAAAACTGGAAATAACTGGTGTGAATCGCTGTCCGTAACAAATGAAATGGAAAAGTGGTAAAAAGAATCATTGTACATAAACCTTGGACCTCCGTCACAGTGACCACAGTTTTATGTAATCAGGACGTCTTGTCCCCATTACTTGGTTTGACTTAGCAGGCGAATTTCAAAGGTCAGGAGCTATTAGCATTCTGAGGGTCTGGCTGGCTGCCAAGAGGATTTCTGTTTGTCAATGGTTGAAACTTGGTCACAGTTGGCCGTTCTAACAGGACAAAGATCCCAAACACACATCAGTTTTTTTTAAGGGATGATCACAATATTAAGCTTCCTGGATGCTACAAACCTGGCATGGCCATCGCCTTTCTGCACAATTCTAATCTCTTCACAGCTCAGACTGAGATTCCTCCCTTTCACTTGTATTGCTCCGGTAGAATTTCAACCGGCCCAATCAGCATACAGAAGGAGAAGTTGTGAACGATGATGTCAATTTTCTGCACTGCTCTAGACTGCCAGTACTTTTAGCAATGGGAGCACTTGTCCAAATATTAGTTGGCGTGTATGCCCATGTATCTTCTTTCAGTACAGTTAGTCGTAGCTTTTGAGTTAATTTTGGATTTTCTAATGCGTCTCATTGCCTATTATGCATAATGTGTCCCTCTCAGGAGCAGAGGATGTCCAGAGCTGACTGGTCCTTCCTGGAACACCTGCTGGAGGAGGGCCAAGAGTACTCTACTGCTATTGGCCGGATCTGGATCACAGTACTCTTCCTGTTTCGCATTCTGGTCCTGGGAACAGCTGCCGAATCGGCGTGGGATGACGAGCAAGCTGACTTCGTCTGCAACACGAAGCAGCCCGGTTGCACTTCCGTGTGCTACGACAAAGCCTTCCCCATATCCCACTTCCGCTACTTTGTCCTCCAGGTCATCTTCGTCTCGACTCCCTCCATCTTCTATTATGGATACGTGGCCATCAGAGGTGGGAAGGACCCAAAAGCCAAACAGGGCAAAGGAGAAAGTGGGAGTAAAAAATGTGAAATTGTGAAAGAAAGGGAGGACGCCAGTGTGGCTAAAGAAACTGCAGAGCAGAAAGAGAAAGAAAACAGTTGTGGGAAAGGGACAGTGCCTAAAAAGGGATCTACTGAAGCTCCGAAACTGAAAGGGAGGCTTCTGAGGGCATATGCGTTCAGCATCCTCCTCAAGGTCCTCTTGGAGGCAGGATTTATCGCTGGACTTTGGTTCCTTTATGACGGCTTCTTCATTGCAGCCAAGTTTGAATGCACGAGATTCCCGTGTCCTCATACGGTGGACTGCTTTGTCTCTCGGCCCACGGAAAAGACCATCTTCACCGTCTACGCTCAGGTGATAGCCGGCATCTCCCTTTTGCTCAACCTGATTGAACTCATCCACCTATTGATCCTAGCCTTCTCCTATCGCCTAGAGAAGTGGGATGAGGATTACCTACCTCTAAGAGAGCAGGTACAAGTGACTCCAGCAATACGAATGGAGACGCCCCAAGACTATAACACCGGCAGGGACATCAGCATCCCCGCACAGGGTAGGGAGGCAAAGTTACCGGGCAACCCCTGTGAAAGCTACGCTGAAACGGTGATAGAAGTGAACTGGGATGCAGGGGAGGCCGGGCATAACTTGCTTCCAAGCTACATGAACTGCATAAAATCCACAGGAAAAGCGAGTTCCAAACGATGCGGTCATTCCAAACATTCAGATCAAACAGGGACGGATAGGAAAGGTGCCCACAAGGGACATGCAAAAAACCAGAAACAATATGTTTGACGGTAGCTCGGTGTACTTTTTTTTTCCTCTGGTTTTTGACGTTTCTGCACGTGACACTTAACAAACAGGAGTGCACAGTTTGAAGGAAAGCAGCATAACAACCACTGCACTGTGAACTCCATGTCTCAGAGGCAGACATTTGCAGGGTTTTTTTTTTTTTTTTGATAAACAAATCTATTCAAAATGAAGCATTTTGAGAACACTCCCACAGGCGAAATAAAAATGTGACTCCTCAATGAGATTTAAGTCATAAGATGCCTTCCTGCTAAGTTTAATAGCAAAGTGATGTGGAAAAAAAACAAGCCGAAGGGTCTGGCAAAGGGAGCCACTAAGTGTTTGTGCAAGGAAATTTAGATTTAAACGTACTCTTCTGAGATTTGCACTGAAACCCCCAGAGTCTTCTGGATCTTTGCTCCCTCCTAATGGATCTGTGCTCTCTGTGGAATGCACTGGTCTCTGGACCCCGCTTCGGCTCCCAGAAGGATAATTGCGGCGTGGATGAAGGCACGCATGCATGCACGCACACAATATGCTCGCCTCCTTTCGCCCAGCGAGTTCCGGTCAATCAAATGTTGGAAGACGTGGCCTTGGAAGGCGAGGGGCGGGATGTGGGGAGTGGGAAGGGAAGCCAAAAGTTTGGGATTTGTGGGATGGAGCAACCATAACATTTGAGCTATAAAGAGCCTGGAGGAGGTGACCGCGCTGCGTGCAACAGCATTAATGTGAACCTACAGCTGGGAACTTCAAGAAGCAATAGCTGCAGAGCCGAACAAAAATACACCTCTTTGCAGTTTGTTGTTTAGCAACCACAAACATCAGTGTTGTTTTGAGTACCCTGTAGTGAAACAAGGTGGTGGTAGTGCCATGCTCGTGGAGATCTTTTTCAATGTCCTACAGGGTTTTCTCCAGGATTTCAATGTGTTTCGCACCATCTTTTTGTCAGAAGAGCACTCCCACAGCATAAGGCTGCCAACACCGTGTTTCAAAATGTGGTGCTGTGTTCAGGGTTATAAAACCCACACGTCTGTTTTTGTTAACATCACTTTTATGCATTCTCATTTAATCCCAATAAAATACAGTGAAGTTTGAGGCTGCAGAGCAGTACAATGCCAACAAGGTGTTTTTTTTGTTTTGTTTTTTTCTGTAGTTGGACCTCAGAACCAGTAATTGCCCATTGAATGGACAAAAAGTGGTACAGAAATGTACAAGTTCAATGAAAGGGAGTGGTTGAATATTTGGACAAAATGTATTTAAATAAATGTAATTTTTATGGTGTTGTAAAGCAATCCCGGTCATAATATTTATTACTGTTTGAAAAAAAATTTTATTTATCATTTTTGATGTCAGCTCATAATAAAGTCCAAGGGACACAATTTTGTACCATTCATTCACTTCTGAAGTTCCAGTTGATCTCTTGTGTTCATGTTTCCTCCTCCCTCCATCACATTTTACAGAATGAGATTTCTTTTATTTGTTCCTTTGTCCGACAACGCACTTTCTGCCATCCGAGCATTGTTGCAACGCAGAGAAAACGAATCCCTCATGCCAGCAGGATAAATAATAGAAACAAAGATATGGAAGAGGATTTCACGATATCATCAGCGCGGCTCGCCAAGGAAGCCGGTGGAGGGAAATAACTTTGATTTAATGTCTGTTTTCTAATCAGGGGGTTATGGCTTCGCAGTGAAAAGAGAGCATCACTCATCCGGCACCATAAGCTTGCACAAGGCGCAGCGGCAGTGTATGCTCTATTTAATTTCCCCTGGAGAAGCCGGGCTGTTAATGCATTTTTTTTTCTTCCTTTCTCATGTAGAGCAACTGATAAAACCCAGAAGTCAGCGCCTTCAACTAAAGTTCTTGCTTGTGTTCTGATACATTGAGGTGATTTTTCTTTGCGGCAGTATATGGCACCTCCATTACCGGTCGGAGTGGTGATAAGCCATTTTTTTGGCAGGAAAAGGGGTTAATAGGAAAATTTAAAAGGGACCTGGTTTTTGGAGCAGCTTCAACTTTAGGAGCGGTCAAAGAAAAAAACTGGAACAAACAGTGAAATCATTCATTTCCCTGTAGGTTACCATGATTTTCTCTTCCAATAACGATAGGAATGAGATGCCTCAACCTTTGGAGGAATGTGTTGGGTTTTTTTAATCGCACGCCCTTGTTGGGGACAGATTTGCACGTAGCGCCGAGGAAGCAACGGCTACAGGGTTCAGTCCCTGCCGCGTGTCCGAACTCTTCTGGCATTTGCGAGCGGTTCTGTTATCTCTGCTTTCCATTGTGGGCGCATGAGTCGGCCTCTGTGTTTCCAGCGAAAAGCCGTGGGGGTCAAGGAACACATTGCGGAGGGCGACCTGCCGGTGCCAGGCGAAGCCAGCAGCAGATCTGCAGACGAGCTTTTTGCATCATCTGTGCTTGTAGATTACAAACCAGAAAAAAATAACAATTAAAAAATGGGCGCCTTCTGTTCTTTTTCACAGACTGAAACGTTCCACGACCGTTCAGTAACTTTCAGGTTGACTGAAGTGACTCTTGATCGTCTGCTTGTCCCACTGACACGTCTAAGAAACTTCAAAAACCCACTAGGGAGTGTCGAGAAAGGGTTTGGTTCCTCCTTCAGAACAATAGGGCATTAATAAAGCTTTACAGCCATCACTGGTTTCATTATCTACTTTGTCTAGACTGTTTCCCTTTATCGACGCAACTTTTCAGGGCAAAAAGGTGCAAGGAGTGTGTTAGAAAAAGCTAATAAAACAGACCTTTGCTTGTGTAAAGCTGTGAAAAATGTGCAAACTAAAGTCAACTTCTTTTTTTTTGCGAATATCCATAAAGTCATTCCCAGGGAACATCCGAGTTCAGACGCCACTGTGACTCTACTTCCTGACATTGTTGGAGTCACAGTGGATCCATTTCCTCAATTTATCCAACGAAAATAAATGAAGCCCATCAGGCCCTTTACTTTTTAAAAAAAAACAAAAACAAATTGGTTCTTGTGAAGTCAAAGGCGCAGCATACATGGGTTCATTCCTGAAACACAAAAAAGCGAAAGTCTGGAGGGCACTTTCACTCAACCGGAGCGGGTCAACGTTTTGTAGATCCACCTGTTCGCATCCACTGATCAGAACTTGTCTCTGCCAGGCAAAATGTCCGCTTGTTCTTTCTGCTGAACGGTTAAAGATCAAACAGAAAGAGTCTGTCAACATCAATTTGATGTAACGTTGTTTTTAGCTATGACTAAATGGTAACAGATCTCAAAGCGTTTCAGTTCCCAAGTGGAACAACGGCTAAAACAAAATTAGACTGTGGCTGGAAAACCTGCAGACAAAACAACAGTTGCTTTGTTTTCAACATGCAGCGCCGTTTAATTTGCCGTCCGTGATGAAATGAGCTAGAAGTGAATTGCGCTGCGTTAAGGTGAGGCAAGGCTTATTTTAAAGTCTTAGGATGTTATTTAATAATTTCCTTGAATTATTAAATTGAACTAATGATTCAAGGAAAATCTTTTATACAGATGTCCTTTATTGTTTATCTTTAAAGTTTTTCTTTTCATTTTGTGTTGGTCACTTTAAATTCCTGGTTAAAGCTTGTGATATAGTGAATCACGATCTACACAGGGGCGTTGCTGAAGCATAATGTATGCAACATTATGCAGGTGTCATCATTCCCACCTGCCATGCAAGCTAAACGTTCTACTCATTTCCGAAGGCTGTGGTGGTTTGGTGAAAAACGTGACCTTGCGACCTCAGGAAGGGCCGACATGATTTGACCTCAAAATCTCACGTTTCTCCTGATCCACAAGGGCCCAACCGGCCTTCAGATAGCAGCCGCAGCCGGGTGGACAAGGTCGGGAAGGTTATGCAAAATCCGTGTTTTTGGATCAAGCCGGAGCTCGGGCTCCGTGGCTCTGCATGGGGGCCGCTCGCCATGATTTATTGTTTACGCTGCGCAGCGCTCGTTTCAGGAAAAGGCAGACGTGTGCCAGCTCCTTTTGTTTGCCTTGACATCCGTTCAAACGGATTTGTCCGTGTCCATAACAATCTCCCGTCCCGTGGACCGTGCCTTTCATTTGGGCATTTGTGCGATTCATGCAAAACGAAATAAAAAAAACAAACAAACCGAGAAGGCTTTCGCCGATAACTAAATTTAACTGCTGGGACAGGAAGTGAGTCTGTATCTGTTTCCTTTTCCAGGATTGTTGCTCCCTGGGGGGGAGTTGGCGGTCAGGGATTGTTTCACATGACAATGGTGCTGTGGTGGGTATCCCGGTATTCGCTCACCAAACGCTGCAGTCGTAGTTGCACGACTTTTCTGCCGGTCTGCCCCAGAATCTCAATGAGAGACTGTTTTTGTTGTTTCCCCTTCAGAAAACGTGAAAAGATCCAACGGATACTTTTGCAAGGCGCTTCAGCTCGAAGTGTTTACATCTGCAAATAATCACCGTTTTAATGTGTTGGAATAATTTATTGCAAAATGGGAACTGTTTGAGGGCGGGGGGTGGAGGCGCAAAACCTGCATACCTCGTTTTTAACATTTGAGGCCGTGTTGCGCCAGCAGACTATAACCTGCTTGCAATTATGACTCTCGGGTGCATCTAGGATCCGAATATTCTGCTGGAGCGCTCTCAGATTAGGTGAGCAATGATTCATTTGTAATACTGTACGCTGAAGTGGAAGTGTTCCCCGACCAGCCCTTTTCCTGGTAAACACTATTATTACATCAGTGCTGTCATTCTACCAGCCCTAATTCACACTTGCATTGTGAATTAGTTAAAAAAATAAAAATAAAAAAAGTACACAAACAAGCAATTTTCAGCTCCTTTAAGATATGGTTTCTTGTGTTTCGTTTTCAAAGACAGCTTGGATAGTTATCAGAGAAGATGAAAAATGGAGAAATCTCCTGAAGTAAAAGAGTATTTTTCGCAAAAAGTTGGCATTTAAGAAAGAATGTTATTTTGCTGGAGGAGTGACTGCGTCTATTTAATTTGGACCTAAGTTGTCAGTGAGTGGTGGAGCTGGTCTTCTTTATCCGTAAGATGTCGTTGGCTTATACATAAAGGACGTCCTGAGCCGGTGGAGACGCATGATGTCGAAATTTCCGTGTTCCAATAAAAGCTTCCCAACCAAAAACACACAAACACATTTGCCAATTTTCTGACTTGACATCAGCTGACTGGCAGTTTACTCTGCAAACGATCCATTCAGAAAATAATTCAGCATTATCTTCGCGGACAAATAAAAAAACAAAAAAATACTAGGACAGCTCGACATAGGATTTGCTCAAACATCTGTCTCTTATAAGAACTCGCTGCATTTGTCGTCACTGGGATGATGTTAAAAGTGACTATTGTGAACTTGAATAAAAATTGTATTGCTACATGTGAGCATATTTGAGGGAGACAAAGTCTAAAGTTTTAATTGAAAGCAGTGTTTCTCAATTTTGGTCCTCAGACAGAAATGGGAAACATTGAAAGTAAGGACTTTGTTATGAAGACAGACATTTTTACCTGGTTCTCTCAAGTCCGCATGAAATGGCCACAGACATAAAGCTGTGTGTGTGTGTGTGTGTGTGTGTGTGTTTCAGCAGTAATAACACAGAAATGACCACAGCTCATCTGAGGCTGAGAGCCAGGAGACTCTGCTGGTTGTTGAAGGGTTCTGTGTGGGTTTCTACCAGGACCCGTCTCAGCCTGCAGCTCTTGTTTCACAAAACAAATCTAACTGAATATCATTTTTAGATTCTAATTTCTGTCTGGTTCCCTCCCTTCAGCTCGGGGGAACCAAAGTTCTGCCTGTGTAAGATATTAACACACCAAGGTGAAATGAACGTCTCAGCAGATGATCCGGCGACAAAACAACCATCTGAATCGATGACACAAGGAAAAGTTACAGGACTTGGGTTTTATTGTGTTCATCAGTATTACTGATTAAACTTTAGCTTTAATAATATAAAGCTACATAATTTTAATGTTTAATCGGTAATACTGATCAGTAATACCGTTATAACAAATTTATGTCAGATCATGATTTCTTGGTTAATGTCAAGTTATCATAACAAAGACATTTTGAATAATATCAATGTTGTATTAAAAGTGTCATGATTCACCAAATGACACTTCATGATAACAGTCATAAATATTCATGAAGACTTACTCATGTTCATGACGGTGTTATGTCATGTTTATGACAGTGTCATGACAGTCTTATTCACAACCTGTCAAATACAGAGTTACTGAACTGAAACTACTACTAATCATAGTAGTACTAGAAACTACTACTATAAATTTAAATCATTCAGACAACCAGCACAACAGAGACACAATCAAAACTGTCAGAGGACTAATTACCCCGCGACAATAACTCAGAAACAATCCCAATTAGGATTTATCTTTAGTTAT